CTTGGGAGGGTGGAGGGACAGTGCAGGAGGGGAAGGCCCTCTATGAGGTGGATTGATTCAGTGACTGGGATAATCGGGATGGGAGTGTGGGAGTGTCAGAGATAGTGCAATTGGCACAGGACAGAGCACAGTTTAGGGCTGTTGTACATAGGGTCACTGTGAGTCACAAACGACTGGACAGCACATAACAACAACAACGTGATCTATACAGGGGAAGGATGGGTAATATCCTTCCATGCAATTAACTGCCTCTGAAAACCTGCTGGAAAGTCAGCCGTGGTTTGGTTCTGACTCTACAGTACATAACAACAACAACATGTGATCTGTGTTGTTATTGTTATATGCCACTGAGTCGCCTGTGATGCATAGTGACAGTAGCTCTGAACCCTGCCCTATCAGACCCAGTCTCACACAGTCTGACACACCTAAGATATAATTGTCCCAGTTATTGTGTCAATCCATCTTATCTGGAGAGCTCCACCCTTCCAAGCATGATGTCCTTCTCCAAGGACTGGCCCCTCCTGGCAACATGCCCAAAGTATGTGAGACAGCTTCAAAATCCTTGCCTCCAGAGAGGGAATATTAGATAAAAGAAAAATCAACTCAAGACCATTATACATGTGGCAACACTAAGAACCTAAGAGTAGGTGACTTTTCTAAGGCAATACAGGTAATAACAACTAGTCAACATCTATTGAGTCCTTATTGTCTACCAGGCTCTTGGTTGGATGATTAAGTCATTTAATGGTAAATAACCTTATCTGGTTTTTATTATAATTGTCCCCACTTAACAGATGAGGAAACTGAGGCTCAAAGAAGTTGAAGGATGGGCCTGTGATCCCACAGCTGGCACATTAATCCCAGCAATGTCTACAGTCAGCTCTTTTAAGCACCATGCTAGACAACCCTGTGTATTCAATATCAGAAGGAAAGCTATATCCCATGTGTTTTGATTCCCTGCTACTTTTTGGTTGTGTATTAGCTATTTATTGATCTACTAGGGAGCCCTGATAGCTTAGTTGAAAGGAGTTGAGTTCCCAACCCAAACGCATACAGCTTAGATCTACCAGCTGCTCTGAGTGAAAAAGAATGAGCAGTCTCCCCGTGTGGGATTTACTACCTCAGAATACCTGCTGGAGAGTTAGCTATGAGTCGATTCCGACCAGAAGTCAGTTCCAACTTGTGGTACATATTTAAATATAACATGGATGAGTCTTGAAGACATTATGCAGAGGTAAATATCTTAGTCACATAAGGACACATTTGCCATAAGACTGCTGTTATAAAATAGTGTCAACAAGTGTTACAGTCCTAAAACAATACATAAAGTTTATTTTTGTAGACATTTTTTTGCTTCAGGTAAAAGACAATTTGTTAGAGGGATTTAAGTAAAATTTGAAATGACTTATTTTGTTATAAAAATGAATATAAATGATTGTTTCTAAAATCAGTTTAGCTATTTAATTATATATAGGTAGTCCCCAATTTAAATTGAGGTTTAGAACATGCCTTCATCATAAATTGGTTATGACGTCTTGAAGTTTTATATTTATGTTTTCGTTTTTAATGTCTTAAAAAACTTTATTTTTACAAATCCAATCTTTGAACATTAGTAAACACCTGACAGAATTACATCACCAAATTAGAGATTGCAACACTGTGTATGTTTCATATTACATAAAAGGTACACATTCAGCAGATGGTGCTAAGGGCAGTTGTGATAACTTGAATATGTCAGAAGTCAGATTACATTTATCTAAATAAATTTATATATTATATTTCTATGCCCATCTATTTTGTTTGTTTTATTTTTACTAGTTTAAGCTTTTCGTTCTCCACTGGTAGACTGATAGTTTTTAAATGATATATTGCATAAAATAGTGATTTAAGTAAGATGAAGAAAAAAAATCCATAAAAATAGTATAGTAATAAAATTATGTCTTTTCCTCTCAAGTGTGAGTGTAAATCTCTTAAGTTTAGAGGCTGACCTAGTTGTTTTAGTTTAATATTTGCGTTAATGAAGAGAATCAAGACTTTTTAAAAAAACCCAACACATATTGTTTTGTCATTTAGATATTGTTTGCTGTTTCTGAAGCTAAAGAAAAATGGAAAAGTGAGATTGATGATATGAAGAAAAATACACCTGGAAAGGAATTGGAAGAGAAGATCCATTCCCTTCAGAAAGAACTTGAGTTAAAGGATGAGGAAATCCCTGTGGTGGTCAGGGCTGAGCTGGCTAAGGCGCGGAGTGAATGGAACAAAGAAAAGCAAGAAGAAATCCACAAAATTCAAGAACAAAATGAGCAAGATTACCGGCAATTTTTAGATGATCATCGAAATAAAATTAATGAGGTGCTTGCGGCTGCTAAAGAAGACTTTATGAAGCAGAAAACTGAGCTCCTTCTTCAGAAGGAGACAGAATTACAAACATGTCTAGACCAGAGCCGTAGAGAATGGATTATGCAGGAAGGCAGGCGGGTCCAGCTGGAAATCTATCAGTATGAAGAAGACGTCCTGACCATACTTGAATTTCTCTTAAGAGATGCCCAAAAGGAGCACTTGGGAAGTTCAGAGAACATGGAGCTTTTGGAAGTTATATCAACTTGTTCTTCAAAATGGGTGTCTGTGCAATATTTTGAAAAACTAAAAGCCTGCATACAGAAAGCTTTTCGAGATACATTCTTGCCACTTTCAGAAAATGCTGGTCCGCAGTGGGAAAAGGTATGTTCCTTAGAAGTGAAAAAAAGATATTAAACGTCAGGAATGACTGTAGACGTTGCATATGGTATTTTTTCCTTTTATATTTTGCTAATGATTTTAAAACTTTTTGTAGAAAACCCAAAACTACATTTTGTTGTCTGAAGGCCTCCACTTCTTCATAATGCCTCAATTAGTAGGCAAAATCCTTAGGCTCTAGACCTCTTTTTTCCTAAAAGCAAAAAACCATGAAACCCCAGAAGCTATTGTTTATAATGATCTGAGATTGCAGAAACTTTGAATAACTCTCATTTTTATTTTTGTGTTTTGAACACAACCACTTCATCAAATATGCAACATATTGAAATAAGGTTTTTATGAATTTTTGAAAGAACTTAAAAGCTTACGTCTTGCCTTTAAGACAGTTTTATCCCACATAGGCAAAAAACCTGCTAACCAAATATAGAATATGGATATAAAAACAGTAAAGGCACTGCTCACTCATGAAAAACTCTGAAGTCCAAATTTTTTTTTGTTTTGTAAATCTAGATGGAATATGTAATAGTTGTATTATTTTTATTTATATACATGCTCTTTGAGCTCTGCTTTTAGTTCCTGTTGAAGATCTGATAAAACCAAATCCGGTATCTTAGTGAACATTCTGATCAAAGAAGTTAGTTATACATGTATAAATCCGAAATGATATTCTAGGCTTTGTGATCTAGCATTTGAAAATTGAAACAGATGCCAAGATTTAGAATATTTGTCTGGTAAAGGAGTTCAGAGATGAGTGTTAAATCTCCTTAACATTGTGAAGGAGTCCTGATAGTACAACAGTTCAGTGCTCAGATGCTATCCAAAAAACTAGGAGTTCAAGGGGAGCTCTGGTGGCCTAGTGGTAAGGAGCTGCAACTACAATCCCAGAGGTACACGGTTCGAGTCCACCAGATGCTCTGCTGGGGAAGGAGGGACAATCTCCTCCTGTACCAGTCAGATCTGATTTGACGGTACATGCACACAAAAATAATAAAATAAAAAAAAATTTAAAAAAACCCAAACAAACTAGGAGTTCAAACTCACCAGCTACTTCCTAAGAGAAAAGGCCTGATGAACTATTGCCCTCAGAGTACAGCCTAGGAAACCTGATGGGGCAATTCTTCAGGCCTGTAGGGTGACTACATTTGGAACTCTGCTCAACTTGATGGCATACAACAGCAGAACAAGATAATATCATGAAAAAGTTTTCAAGGCCAGGAGTGGGCATTTGGTATTACTATCTACTGGAAAGTGGCAAGAGTTAAAAGCAGGGGTAGAGGTGAGAGTAAATCCAAGTTCCTGTGTCAAACTGGCAAATTCATTCATTGCCTTGGGCAGTTTAATAGAATAATTGTTCTTCTGAAGAAGGAAAAAGATACCTGGCTGACTGCTTGAGTTTTGGTAGGATATTCATGGTACAGTGTGACCTTCCTGTGCCTGACAACTGAAGCGTACAGGATCGTGGAGCCAGAGGGACTCTGGAGATCAGTCTGTCTCAGCCCAGTCCACCAAAATCAATAATTTTTGTCCCTCACTTGAAAAAATACGGTTTTTGGAGAGTCATTGTATTCAATGTAGAAATATATTTTGTGTGTGTACCGTCAAATCGGATCTGACTGGTACAGGAGGGGATTACCCCTCCTCCTCCAGCAGAGCATCTGGTGGATTTGAACTACATACCTCTGGGATTGCATTGCAACTCCTTGCCACTAGGCCACCAGTGCTCCCTGAGTTTTTTTTTCTTTTTCTTTTTTTTTTAAAAAAAGAAAATAGATCATTTTAATATTAAAATGAGAATGGTTTTAAGACAGGTAATGAAAAAAATAGTGTAACATGCTTTGAAATTTATTGTCTTGAAAAGACATTCTCTGCTTTAAAAATCTCTTTGCTTCTAACATTAATATATCATCAACATCTTTTTACAGGGCTTATAATTGTGCAGGCAGTCTAAAAATCATCTGTGTGCATTAATGTGGCTCACAAGTCTGTGGAGACAGAATCACATAATTTGGCCAAGAACTTGGACTTTTTGCAGCTTTTATTGGGTGGAGTCAGATTCCATTCCTGAGAAAAGGGTGGCTTTGAAATTCCTAATCTGGCATTTGTCAGAGAATTAATACTTGACCTTCTGCCATTTTAGAGCTAACTTAGCTCAGGACTTTGAGGTAAAGCAATAATTCCAGAGGAGCGTTTACAAACTTACAATGTAAGTGGCATAAATGTAAACATTATATGTGTACCACTTATTAAATCACCAATTTTTAGAATTGCTCATTGAAATTAAAATATGGAAAGCTTGTTTTCAGTATCTATAAAACAAGTTGAAAAGCTAGATCCAGTGCTGTTGAGCAGCCTGAATCATAACAAGTCTCCAGGACAGAGTAGAACTGCCCCTTAGGGTTTCTGACAATCTAATTCTCATTGAAACAAATTGCCCCATCTGCAGGGTGACAACTGAATTCTTTAACCACAGTGCCACCAGGGATCTATGTATAAAACAAGTCCTCATTTATATAACTTTGTTGATAAAATATTTTGTAAAAAGCGTGAAATATATTAAAATACAATTTCCATGAAAATTAATGTATTGTCAAAACATAGTAATATTTCATTTCAAATATATTAATATAATACTTCATAAAAGAAGTATCAACTAGAACAAAATTTTAAAACAGATTAGTACTGTCTTTTCTTATTACTCAGCAAATTGAAACCAGAAAAAAAGGGTTCCTGCTTTCCTACCTTCTGTGTTATCCTGGCTTTTATATTCTACAGTTTTGAATAGAAACTAAAAAACTTGACTGCCTTTGGTTCAGCTCTTGTTACTCCTTTTTGCCTTCACTTTATGTCCTCGTGATTACCTTATTTGCTCTTTATCATTTCTGACTTCTGCATCTGTTGGGCATTGAAAATGTTTCCTAAGAAATTAATTCTTCAGAGTGAAAAATCAAGGTTTATAGAACCAACAATGTGTAATGTGTTTCAAGTAATGAAACTGAATAATTTCCTCAACATTACCTACACAGCCAGTTCCTTTGAAGTTTTTATAGTTATTTCAAATCTTTAAAAAATACCACACAAAAGCAACCCAACCCCAAACCAACCCTTCCACTTTAAAAGAACTTCATACCGCCTGGTGAATCTTGAGAGCACAGTGAGAAATGTGTTGCACTACTAAGCAAAAGGCTGACAGTTTGAATCTACTAGCTGCTCCACAGGAGAAAGTTGGGCACTCTCCTCTGCTCAAGATTTATAGCCTCAGAAAACCGGTGGAAGGTTGTTATGAGTCAGACTCCACTTGATGGCACTGGGTTCAGATGCTTACTGTCCATAATGGGAGCGGTGTGGAAGGCAAGGTAGAATTCTTGCTTTCTCTGGAAAACGTGGGTTTGGTTCTCACACATTGTGACTCATACGCATCAGCTAACTGTTGGTCAGTGGAGGCTTTTGTGTTTCTCTGATGCTGAACACTTTTAGTGGCTTTTCTACTCTAAGATGGACTAAGGAGAAAGCTGATGAAAACCCTGGGGACCAATATAGCCTGAACTTAACAACCGTGGGGTTTGCACAGTTTCTAAATGATTAAGGGGAAAGACAGTATTTCTTTTCATTATACATGAGGTTGCAGTGACTCATGGGCCAACTTGAAAGTTGCTAAAGCCATAATTGCTTGGAAGGGAAACTAGAATATACAACAATTGTTAAGCAAATGTTTGTTAGTGAAGGAATGGTCATGTGCAAGATTTTGACTCATGTGAGCCTCTGTCATCTTCTTTACATTGGAAAGAGGATTTTCTTAAAAAACAAAATTAAGATATATAAGGAGCTCTGCGGGCCTAATGGTAAGTAATTGCACTGCCAACCTTCAGTCACATTATTCGAATCTACCAAGTCTCCCCACAAAAGAAAGATGGGCATCCTCCAGCCGTGTGTTTTACTATCTCTGAAAACTCTCTGGAAGGTCAGCTTTGAGTCAGTTCCAACTTAATGACATGTATCAACAACATATTAAAATATTCAGAACCGTATAAAACACAATATAAAAGTAAATGTTCTTTATTGTTATATTTAACTTATGGAAAACAAAATGTTGGTGTTACAGTGAGTGATGAATTTGACCACTTCTGGAGTCAAGGTGCTCTGGATTTTCAAGCATAATTTGATTTCACATAGTCTGTCATATGAGGTAATCACTTAAACGGTTAAAAGTATCTCAAATTCAGAGATGTAAGTATTCCATCTCTCTCACCCATCCGTCTCTTATTTGACCCACCAATCTTTGTCTTGACATTGTTCTGATTTGGAAATTGTGGTCATAGGACTAGCTCATAGTTAGAATAACCACTTTGCACCATAAGATGATGATTATTTAAGCAGTTGGGTTTTCTCTCTGCATTTTTTAAACTGCATTTTAAAGAGAATTTTGTAAGTGTTCCTGCTATGCATTAACTATGAAGATAATTTATTTCAGAAAATTATGGCTAAGCTCTCTAAGGATCTCACTACTGAGTGCACTGGCAGAGGAGACCCTGGAGTCTCAGAAGCTCTTCCTGCAGGTGCTTCTGGATACCATGCTCAGTCTACCACCTTGCAAGAAAGAGAAACTGGTAAGTGGATTTTATTCTTACCATCTTTGTAACATCTATAATCACAATTTTGGAGGGTTGCTTTGAGGAGAAAAGGATATCAAAGAATTGAGCATTTTTGAGTGAACCAAGGTGTAGTTATTTTCTATTTCTTCATTCAGAAAGGATTCTTATAACAAGAAGAATAAAGATAGTTTTAATAAAGTAGTGATGATTTTATTTCCTGGCTTTATTAAGAAATATAAGTTTTCACAGGAAAGAATTCCAATGTAACTAGGATTTTTTTCTTTTTTTATTCAAATGACTGCAGCCTATTTCGGCCATATTTAAATGGAAGGCTGTGTTAGATGTTCTCTGATTTATTTGTGAGGTTCTTTAGGGCAGGAGCGGTGTTTTTATCACTTCACTTACTCTACAGCACATGGCACAGTGAGGAACACGGAGTCTGTGCTCTTTAAATACTTAGTGAATAGCCTAACTTTCCTTTAATGACTAAGAAATGCCATTATGAAAAGAATTCTTATACTGCTCTATAGCTGCTCAGTGCTTTCAGAGCTTACTGAGAAATACAGAGCTTTAATTATTTTTGCACTGAGATTTTAGAGCTGGGAGTTGGTGAATCCTTTGTTAGCTCCTGTCCTTTTTAGTGTTTGGCCTCTAAAGCCTTCCTGCCACATAAACACACCCTTACTGCTGCTTATCCACTGTCTCCATTGCAACCTAGAAAAGAACTGAAACTGACCAGAGAAAATCTTATGTGCTAAGCCAGCAATCTTACTTTCCACCCATTTCTAATTCAGTGGGCCCTGTTACAAAACCTTAGGGAATCTCTGGCTTTCCCAAAAGGTCAGTTGACTGCTATTTTTCTTATTGTTCAAATACCTTTTTTTCTTTATTCCTAGGTCCTAGATGTTGAGAGTATTTTATTGACAAATAGGCAGATGGTAATAATGACCTCAATTTGTATACTTCTTAATGCCATGTTAGATTTACTGTCATTTTTTGAAGAGCCTGCGAGTTTTTTTCTCACCTGTAAAGGAGGAGAAATAAGTTTCGGTTTCAAGAAGACCTGTAAACAGGAAAGAAATTAGCTTTGACTTAAAATAGTGATAAGAGGACTTGTGTTTCCTTCTTTAGTCCCCCCATCACAAAATAAACACGTGAATACATTCATTAGACAGGATTAGATAATCTCCAAATGTATAATATAGTAAAGGGTAAAATTATCTATTTGGCTGCATTCAGAGATGACTTTGGGCATCTCCTAAAACTATTACTTTGTCTTTTACCATAATAAAAATTATGCTCACTGTATTTTTCTATTCTTGCCACTTAGTATATTTCTGAGATTTTTGTGTGTTAACACATGCTGTTCAAGTTCATTCCTTTTTATTGTTCTATAGTATTCTGTTCTGTATGCATAGTATATTTTTTTGTCAGTAGACATTTGTATGGGCTCTATTTTTAAATAAAAATTGCAAATACAGAATACATATGATGATTGATTAGTTTTTGATGCTCATAAACTTGACTAGCACCATTTAAATGAAACAAAAAAGACAGGATAAAGCTAAGAAGAAAATAAATTTGCCAGGGCAATCACTTTACATAAACATTTTGGACATGGAGTTCAAAGCCTGTACCAATTTGTGTTCTACTTGTGTCAATTATTGG